GAACAAAGCGTAATAACTTTTTTCTGTGTCTGAATCGACCTCATTTTTTTATTTGGCAGGTTGTTATTTAAGTTTATAAAAACGAATGCTTGGGATACCGAAAAAAAGGGTTTGTATAGTACAGCAGTACCATGACTTGCAGTTCGTCATTTTAGTCCAAAAGGAATTCAGACGGGATTTTGGCAGCACTCCCCCGAGTAGATGAACCATTATGAAGTTGGTAAACATATTTGCCGAATCTGGAAGTATCGCAAGAAGACCATACCATCGAGATCGATATATTCAAATCCAAGAGTTTTGACTCCCTACTTATCGGCGCAACTTGGAGTTAGCAGAGGGTCATTACAACGGATAATTCATGATGACTTAAACCTGTTTCTGTTCAAAGTTCAAATAACAAACCGGTTAAACCGTCTAGATTTGTCTATTCGCCTTGAATTTTGCCAAAAAATTATTGGAATGGCCGAAAAAGACAATAACTTCATAAATTGCCTGTTTATGTCTGAAAAGGCCAATATTTATATAAAAGGAAAAGTAAACAAGCAAAATTCCCGTATAATGAGTGAATCAAATCCAGATATAATCCACGAGACGGAATTTTGCCCAAAACGAGTCACTTTGTCGTGCGCAGTTTCATCAAGGAGTATTGTCAGGCCATACTTCTTTAACACTTTAACAGTAACTGTCAATGGGCACCGTTATTTAAAAATGTTGAATGAGTTTTTTTCACCCAGAACTGCGCTGAAGACATATTCCTTTCAATAGCGTTTAGTTCTAGCAAAACGGAGCAAATGGAAGTACATAACCAGAGCGGTTGTTGCGGAGCTCTTACGAAAATATAAAAACAAATTAATATCAAGAAACTGCACTTTCCGCTGACCTCCAAGTTCACCTGACAGCACCACTTTTTTTATGGCGTTATGTCAAGCAAGAAGTGTACAAAACAAAACCCAGAAATCTGACTGCACTGAAGCAGTCCATTATATCGATAATTAAGCCAATCTCGACTTCAACCCTTCAGGCCGCAATGAATAATTTTCTAATTAGGTATTGCGTGGATGAGCAAGGAGGCCATTTACGGTCCTTAATTTTTTAAAATAATTAATTATATAAAATAAAATAAAATTTTCTATAGAATAAAAAAAATTTACTGTATTGATTAAAAAAAAAGTTATTACGGGTGGTTTTTGTAGCATCATTCATGAGCCCCCCTGTAGCTTCGGTGCAACGTTTTTACTTGTTTTCTAATTAAAATTTGTGCTTAAATTAAAAGGAGACTAAAAATTCAATGGTAAAGTGTTATTTTGATTTTGCGTTAATCAGGATTCATTGGTCGTGAACAATATATTAGAGTACAAAGTACTTTTGCTATGGTTTTAAACAACAAAACATTATTCGTTAATAACTTTAAGATATTTGTTACTTATTTAATTGAAATTGATCAAATATAATATGAATTTAATAAGAACGTACCTGATGCATTAAGAATAATGCTAGCTGCATGCCATCGGTGCGTGATGATAAGCGCCCCCCAATACTTTTCCCGCAATCAACTTTAATCGGGCCTAATGGATAATTAGATGGAAGCGTAATCGTAAGTTCCGTTCGTACATCATCAATAAAATAGGTGGCTATAACTTCTCTTGTTGAGTAATGGACAGACACCTTTGCAAATGTTTATATATTTACGATAAATATAGATTTATTAAATATGAATATTATACTTACTTGCATATTTTCATGCCTTTCTTTAGTAGCACCTATTGCTTTTAACTCCTCTTCGCAGATTAAAGGTGAAATATAATTAATAGTCAATTTATCTACAAAAGCTTTTTGGCGGGATGGGGAAACACTCCACCACTTCCGAACTACTGCTGGTAGTCTTTTCAAAACTTCTATATATAAATGACAAGCATACCTTTGAAGAGTTAAGTTTTCATCTATAAAACAAAAAATAAAGAAAAATCAAATGTCAGAAAAAATATTATTTTTATTCTGTTTTTTAAGTTTGTGAAGATCATCAAATATTTAAAATGTATTCAACATTTGATAAAATTCCTAGTGTTATCGAAATTCAACTAGATCCAGTCAAGAAACTAACCGTTTCACAAGAACTCGAGGCCGCCAAAGCATTACTTCATCAGCGAAAAACTCAGTGCTCATCCATAAAATATAAATACAAAAGACCCAAACGGGCTCCACTTTTATATGGATACAAATTCTTTTGCGTTTGCCCGCAATACAACCCCGAATATGCATGTAAGCATACCGGTAGCGTAATAATTGACCGTGATGTTCTTACCAAAGAGGAACATATGTGTTACTTATCCACACCGCGAGAAAATTTGGCTGCTCCTCGAAAGAGACCTAGATATTACCAGAAAAAAATTATTATGCCAAATTGTACGACACGCATAGAGCAATTGGCTATGCCCGATGTAAAGCGTGTCCGTTATACACTAGACGTACATAGGAGTTTTCTTAGAAAACGACAAATTAAGTCGTTAAAACATCATTTGGATCATAAATCCAAAATTGTGTCCTATAGCATAAATACTGCGCTTTCATATATTGAAGAAGAAAAGCGATTACAAAGAGTTGCTAAAGCGTTGCAAAAGCGACAATGTCGGAGACTCAAAAAGCATATACTTCGTAAGCAGCGACGACAAATAAGGAAGATTATTTGTGTGTTATTTGAGGAAATGAGAGATTTTTTACTTAACGATCAGTTTTTGATAGATGAGCGGTCAACTCTTTGCGCAGTTATATTGGAACAAATTAGGAATTTTACAGGTACGTAAGTTTTAAACATCTAATTTTTACAAGCGTCGATTTCCTATAAATAATAATCACACTTTTTAAAATAATAATATAAAATATGTGTATATAAATATTAGTGAAACTAATTGGTATATTCCGATTATTAATATAATGTTAGCATAATTCTTTTTATTAAAATTTCAAAACGTAGATAATGAGTTCTACACTACAAGTAACCTAAGAGAATATCAACAAGTCTTAGCAAACAATCTCACAGTATGGATAAATAAATTTATATCTAATCTCAACATACATCTGGCACCACCCCCAGTTTTAACGGAAAACTTAAAACCTGATACATTTTTGCCTGTCAAAGATTATATATCATGTTCAGAATTGATTGAGAGTGAAGAATACCAGACGGAACAAAATATTTATTTTTCTGCCGAGGATGAAGATAATGATTTTTTGTACAATACTGAAGATACAATAACTAATACAAACCATTAAGTTGTTTCCGGGACAGACGGTTGAAAATTTCACACGATAGAAATTTACTGTCATGGTTTTTTAAAACTTCTACTGGCATCGCTCGTATAACAAAATGCAAAAATTTCTGAAAAATATTAATCATTAAAACAAATTAATTCAACAAGCTCCGAAATTCACAAGCACTTTTGTATAAATAAATTACAACACAATAAGTAAAGTTTGAAGGATTGTTCAAAGATACACCATTTTACTCATGAGCTTGTATAGAAAATGATTATCTAAAATTAAAACAAAAATGGCATGTAGTTGCTGTTTCGAATATTATTTAAAAAAAACGTGAGTTGTGAGATTTGCCAACCATTAAAAATTATGTTCAAATTACATTTGGTAAGTTGTGAATCCTCAAACAATAATAATTACAATACAAGTAAGGAAGGGCTAAGTTCGGATGTAACCGAACATTTTATACTCTCGCAAAGTCAAATGGTATACTCGTTTTAAATTTCTTTGTGGATCTTGCCGCCTTGTTCTATGTTGACGGATATTTTCGGTAAAAAGTCAGCTATAGGCACTAGGGTTCACATATTCAGTACCTACGGACTTGAACACTTTTGACTCGATTTAGACAATTTTGGTCACAAGGTGGCATACTTCAAACGCATTATTCACGCAAAGTTTTACCCCGATACAATAATTTTTGCTTGATATGCATAGTGGAAAGTGACAGAATCAGATGGAATTGGAAATGGTGTTATATGGGAAATAGGCGTGGTTGTAGTCTTTGTAGTATTTTCGCACTATGGCATAGAAATATCAAAAGAACGTTATGCACCGAATTTGGTTGAAATCGGTTAAGCAGATCTCAAGATATGGGTTTTCACCTAAAAGTGGGCGGTGCCACGCCCATTGTCTAATTTGAACGCGGTTCCTATAAAGTCATCTCATACCATCTCAGAGATAAAATTTAATGTCTCTGGCGTGTTTAGTGCTTGGTTTATCGCGCTTTTAGTAGTTTTTAACAGTACCGTTATATGGGGAGTGGGCGGAGTTGCCACCCATTTTCACACTGTAGATAGAGGTTCTAAAAACATTTGCTTCCAGTGAATTATTATTATAGCATTAGCGGTTTAGGAGATATGTACATTAAACTTTTGAGGGGCGGGACCACGCCCACTTTAAAAGAAAAATTTCAACTGCAGATGCCCCCCTCCCTAATGTGATCCTGTGTACCAAATAACAGTCTTGTATCTTATTGCGGAGCTTAGTTATGGCAATTTATTTGTTTTTGATTAATTGCGTTTTGTGGGCGTGGCAGTGGTCCGATTACGCCCATCTGCAATACCAACCGTCTCACGGTACCAAGTTTCATAAAGATATCTCAATTTTTACTCAAGTTAGAGCTTGCACGGACGGACAGACAGTCACCCGGATTTCAACTCGTCTCTTCATCCTGATCTTTTATATATATATAACCCTATATCTAACTCGATTAGTTTTAGGTGATACAAACAACCGTTAGGTGAACAAAACTATTATACTCTGTAGCAACAGGTTGCGAGAGTATAATAATTGAATTTTATCGTCGGATAGGCGTTTGTTAGCGAACTTAATAAAAAAGTTTCGGCTGCAGTCTGTTAAAAATATATAAACAGAGATACTTTTCGAAAAGGCTCTATTTTTGGCAAAAACCAATTTTCATTTCTTATGAGAAGAAATTTATCTGTTTAATTTATTAATAAAACAAAATGACTACCCCAGAATTAAAAAAAAAATCAATTTTTTATTTTTGCAATTATTATTTTTAAGATATTACATTATCCGAAAATTTGAAGCTGATTTCGCAAATAGATTCGTATTTCTAAGAATTTATTAACTTAGTGTGATTGTCTCCTAAACTTTAGGTTCGTTTTTCTCAAAACTATATTTTTTGAACTGGAGACCATTATAGCTCGAGAACTGCTCGGTATTTTCAATGAAATTTATACAGCTTTTTGAAAGCATAAACACTTACTAGTGCCTGATCGATTAAATTCGATTTATTATCAACAATTAACTCTTGGTGCTTGCTCGAATTTTTTTTTAATTTTTGTTAACTTAATAAACAAAAAAGTCTTAGATTATTTATTAATAAAACTTTTTTTTTTGTCCGATTGATTTTAGATGAGTTTCGAAAAATTAGTGATGGTCGCGGCTATGATTTTACTTTTAAAAATAAAATAATTTATGTACATGCAAAAAAATTCTTTAAATTTGTAATTTTTTCATGTCTTTGACTACAACTAGGGTGGTAAATACGTAGAGTGGCTGTCTGACGGCGCACCTAGACCCATTGTGATTCCACCGGGACTAATGTTCCCTCACTCTATTGTCTCCTCTCTGAACCAACCCGTACTTCTGTACAAATAGTTTTATCTGAGCAACTTCCGAAATGTCGTGCAAAAACCCTCGACCGATAGTTGCGATCCTTTTCCTGTATAGAACCTTACATTCGCATAGACTGACTACAACTAACTCCTAATAAGTCTCGGAAGTTCTAGAATGGAACATTATTGTAAAAATGTATTGTTCATTATTCTACGCCAAGTATTAGAAAAATATATAGAAGTAATATGGGATAGAACTACTTTCACCAAATAGAGTATGACGTTTCAATAGAGTATGACATTTTTTTAAATAATTCATTTTATGAGTATATTATATTAAATAAATATCTTATCCCAGTTTTTTAAATATTAATATCGTTACAAGTTTTGTATTTATATAATTTGAGTATAATTCAGTTTTTCTTAGTTTACCAATTCGATGGTGAAAACTTATTTTTGTATATATATAAGAAAATTAAACACTAATATCAGAAACTTTGATATTTACCTTCGATCTTAATTCCTAATTTGATATATATTTTTTAGATGAAAATGTTTTTATAAAAATTTATTAAATAGAAAAATTTCAACAAAATAATAAGCTTTTAAATATAATATAATAATTATTTAAATAGCTTTTTGTTAGTAGCCAAATAATTCTAAAAGTTTCTTTTCGACACTCTGCATCGGCATTTTGCTGACATTTTCAAGGGTAAAATATAATAATAATAAGCAATGTTGGACCCAGCGAGGAATGTTTATGCATATACTATTTTTTACGTCAAAATATATCTAGAAGATGAGCATGAATATGGGGTGGCCAAAAACTTTAACTTCGGAGTCACACAATAACATCTATACAAATTACAATATTGTTCTCAGAATGACAAATAAAAGTCGTCTCATGCTATAGCTAAGTGAATGCCAGCCAATGTCAGCCAGCACTGAATGAAAGACCATTATCCCGTTAGTTTCGAACCAAACGACGCCAGCGCAAGAAAACTTTCGTACTGTGATCAAAAAAGATGATAAGCCAAACGGAGCCCAAAGAGCTATGCCGTAAGCCCCCCTGGACTACACAATGGTATAAGAAATACGTAAATGCTTCATATGTTCATATTTACAACTCTAGTTTATAAAATAAGGTATGAAACTTAACAATTTACCTCGAAAAATTTATTCTCATAAAGCCAGGAAGTATAAATATTCCGTATATTGAGTGGAGATTTGACACAGGTGTGTATTATGCAGTCCCACATCAAGAAATAGCTAAATCCCATTTCAACGTCAATAGGTTCGAATGCATCTATTTCAGATATTTTGAAACTATATAAAAAATCAAAAAATAATTAATTCAAAATAAATATTACAACATTATATAATTACCTGAAATCTGATATATACTTATTAACAAAAATAAGTTGAGATATTAAAACCCCTTCAAATAACTTTAAATAATGCTGAGTTTTTCCTCCATGACTCAAGTCGTCACTTAATGTGGGAACCTTCTTAATGTCGTCAACAACGTAGGCATGAGTTAATTCTTGCAAAATATGATAACATGTCCTTTTTAAAAAGATGTTAGGGGTAAAGAAGTTTTTGAGCAAAATGTTGAAAACATTTTCCGTAGATGGAGTTCGAGAATGCTTGCAAAACTAGATAAAATATGAATCATATAAATTATCAATGAAATATAATGAACACTTACGTTATAAATGACATCAAAATCAGAAAGTAGTACTACCCTTTTTAATTCCCTAAATAATACCATAAAGTATTCTGGTGTGAACTTCTCTGAAAATAAAAGAATGTCATAATGAACACATGGGAAAAAACAAAGAGAATGAACGGATGCTTATGAATGTGACACACATGTGGTAACAATACCATAATACAAATATTATGGTATTTTGTGTACTACCGTAGATGTCCCATATCGAAATGTAGTAAACCCAAATACCAATATTTGTATCATAAAAAATAGACACATATGTCAAAAAAAAGTCAACAATAAAGATGTACATATGCGTAATGGATAAAGTGAGTAATATTATTTCAAATAATTCAAACGGGTGTATTTTCTTCACAAGAAACAGAATTGGTTAAAGTGTGCCTAAAAAGTCGCCATAAATAAGGCAGTCCATGTATTTCAAAAAAAAAGTGTGAAAAATATTTTGTTTTCCGTTTTATTAACTAATTTTTTAAGGCATTTTGACAGAATATTTTGAAGAGCTTTTGTTTAAAAAATTTTATCTAAGTTCCTTAACTTTTTTAGCTGTGTTTCTTAAAATACTACAATGAAATTGTTACCAGGAAAATACTACATTGCTTTCATGGTAAAGTTCTGGTATTTGGTGATACATATCTGGTATTCGTTCGTAGTATAGTACTGTTACCATATATCTGTCACAGGTATTAGCGGTAGTCATAAATAATAACAAAAAACTTAAACTTTATTATCTTGCTCTTGTTTAATGATATGTTTTAAAATGTAATATTACTTGTTCTTGTTTAATGATAAGTTGTTCTTGTTTAATGATAAGTTTTAAAATTTAATATTTAGCCTAACTTACTATTTTTAAGTCGTAATAAATAATTAGTTGCCAATTTAATTCGATGCTGTTGCAATCTTAAAAGGGAGTAATTTGGGGATATTGTATGACTGTGCCTATTAATTTTCTAAATACTATTAGGTAATTTACAAGCTTCGTCTTATCTCTTGGTTGTATTTCAATAGCTTAAAAAATACGACCCTTGTAAGCACCCCTTAATTGTTGTATGTCATAAAATGTAATATTTCTACACTTCACCAGCTGGTAGTGAAAAATTAAGAATACAAAAATGCCACGGGAAAGTGACAAAAATAAAATTAAAGCTTTTTAATGTTGAAACGGCAGCATTTTGGTTCACACTGCAACCACAGAAACAACAAAATATTTTTATATTTCACTTTCTTCAACTTAATTTACCTGAATATCGTGGATTCCTTCCATATTATTAAAAAAATTGATGAAATTTATTTATTTTATTCATTTTAGACACCTAAACATCAACAATAAAATAAAGTAAACAGATACGCTGATAGAATAGCACACTCAAAAAACATACCTCACCGTGTTGTATTTGTCGTATTTCAATTTTGTATGGGAAACAACAACAGTGTTGATATGACAGTCATAAGAAAATAAGACAATACGACGATATGACACAATCTGGCAACTTGTGAATACCCTATATATTTTTTTTGAGTTATCACCGATCTCCGCCTAATTCTTTTTAAATTTTCCAAGTAATTGTACTCTCGCAATTCTCATACTGTCAAAGAACCCGTGCTCCAAGTTTCATCAACTGAAACACTGATTTCTAAATAGATCACCAATATAATACTATCCGAAATATTTTTGCTTAATTTTGTTGACACATCTGATGGTATATAATAGTATATATGTATGTATTATATACGTGCATATGCAATACACAGCTATGGAGACTTAAATGGCACCAAGTCTAATTTCATATAATTGCTAAATTTGGAATTTGATTAATATGTAAAAATTTTGCATTCAATTTTGTGCTGCTGTACCAGAGTTGTACTGTACTGCTCAAATATTCCGTTATGTTTTGTTTTTTCTTTACCGTTATCAATGATGCGTACTCAATGCTGATTTTAAGTGGACACATAAATGGCACAGATTCCTCGCGTATATTTTAATATAATAACATTCATTGTGTTATTAAAAAATAAGTAATTAAAGGTATTTTAACGTAACAAATCACATGAAATGGGATCTGGTAAACATACCACAATAGAAGGAGACTAATTTGGAAAATATATGAAAAACTGAAAAAAGTGGCCGAAATTGCTAAACTAATGCGAAATTCTTGTAACAAAGTAAACAACGTCATCAAATTATGTGTGGAGAATCCCCATGTATTGGTCAAAGGCAGGATTCGGAAGTCTAGACAACATAAAACGGCATGCGGATGCTGCTGTATAAATAATTGGGCTTAAAAATATCCTGTAGACTTGCTAGAAACCACTCCTTTCTAAAAAAAAAAAAGTTTTCAAAACAATTGATCTTCGCCAGAACTCATCAAGAGAAATGCTTAAATTTAAAATTTGGTATTTTATTATGTTACATTATAGGTCATAGAACTTAGTTTTCATGTTATATTTTACTGCGCGTTAGCTAAAATTATATTAAAATCATCTTCAAATGTGATATATTTAATGTAAACTCAACCGAGACGCTAAATTTAATATATTGAGTTGATGTGGAAAAGATCAACCAGAGGACCGTAATTTATTATATTAGGGATATGAGGTTGATACCAAAGTCTGAATCAACTCCATTAATATTCAACGCTAAACCTTTAATATAATTTTATAATTTTTAATAATACTTGTTCACTTAATTTCGTTAAAATATCACACATTTTGACCAACCTAAATAATTTGAGGTCAGGGGGAAAACCGAAAATCACGATACAGTGTGTATTTTGGGCTTGTTGCATTAACCTTTGAGAATACTCAGGTGTACTCGATAGCTTAGTTTTAAAAAGTTTTATCTATACTTCTATACTAATATTATAAATGCGAAAGTCCGTTTGTTTGTTAAGCTTTCACGCAAAAACTACTTAACAGATCATCATGAAATTTTGTACATATACTCTTAGAGGTGTCAGAATGAACATAGGATACTTTTTATTACAAAATTTATAAATTTTTTACGAATTATTAAAAAAATTATTTTGGAAGATTATATATGTTTGGAAAATAAATTTGAAAATTTTGAAATTGAAAAAAAAAAGTTTGGCAGAAATGATTGTTTGTCGAAAAAATTAAAAATGAAAAAAACATAAATGTATAAAAAACGTAAATCAGAGAAATAACACAAATATTATTAGTTACTCTTATTAAATATAAAAATGCCTCGAAAGCGGAAATCGGCGCTGTCAAGAAATTCTACGCCGGTGCGTAAGGCTAAAGTTACACGAAATAAAGAATGTGAAGTTCAAGCAGAGCTGAGAAGGCAACAGCAAGCAGATCGACAACGTGTTTTGAGAGCAGCTGAAACTTCTCATCAGGCACGAGTACGTTCGAAAAGACAAGCTAAGCAGCAGGAAGCTAGAAGAGCAACGGAAACGCAAGAACAATTGCAGGCAAGAAAAATTAATGATGCAGAAGTAAGAACCACGCGTCGTCGTAATTTAATAACTAAGAATTGGTCTGTATTTATTGGTACTGGTTTTCAATATGATCCTTTAGTTGAGTATTCTAATCATCCCTTAATTGATTTGGGCTCAATGGATAAAAAATGTCAGTATTGTGATGCTTTTAAATGGAAAGATGAAAATGCTGGAATGTGCTGCAGCACTGGTAAAGTTTCACTTCCATTACTTGGTGAACCAGAAGAACCTTTAAAAACTTTATTGTTTAGTGTCACAGATGAGTCAAAACGATTTCTAAGTAAAATAAGGAAGTATAATTCTTGCTTTAAAATGACATCCTTCGGAGTTGATAAAGTGATAAGAATGCCAGGAGCACCAACCTTTACTGCACAAGAGCAAATATATCATCGCATTGGATCACTATTTCCAGGAAATAATGATCAGCATAAATTTTTGCAGGTGTATTTTATGGGTGATGAGCAAAATGAAGTAAATCGTCGTTGCCAGTATATAGATGGAGTAGAAAGAGAAACAACGAATGTTACACAGTCACAATGATTTGGTGAAGATTTTTAAAAGTGCGATAGACAACTGGCCTTCAGATAATTACAAAGTTGTCATTCATGCTGATCGAACTCCACGTGGTGAACATGAGAGGCGTTATAATGCACCAATGGTCAATGAAGTCGCTGTTTTGGTTACTGGTGACCCGTGCTCACCTCAAGACATAGAGTTACGAGAACATGATAATGCGTTAAAGCGCGTAGCTGATACTCATAAATTTTATGATGCTTTGCAGTATCCATTAATTTTCAGTAAAGGTGAATTAGGATATCATTTCAATATTTCAGTCATCAATCCGACAACGAACGAGCCAATTCAAAATAAAAAAGTTTCCTGTATGGACTTTTAAGCGTATTATATGATGCATCGAGAGCATGACTTCAATCTTCTTCTACGTACAAGGCAACTCTTCAATCAATGTTTAGTAGATATGTATATTAAAGTGGAGAGTGAACGTCTTCGTTACATTTCTCTAAATCAGAAAAAATTACGTGCTGAAAATTACATACATCTACAAGATGCGATTAACGCAAATGACAATATTAGACCTAATGACATTGGCAAAATGGTTATTCTGCCATCCACTTTTGTGAACAGTCCACGTTATCTGCATGAGTACACTCAAGACGCATTTACTTATGTACGAACTTATGGAAGGCATGACCTCTTCGTAACTTTTACCTGTAATCCTTCGTGGCAGAATGTAACTCAAGAACTTATGCCTGGTCAAAAAGCAACTGATCGTCACGATATAGTTGCTCGCGTATTTCGTTTAAAGGTTCAGAAGTTAATGAACGTTGTGACAAAAGGAAAAATTTTTGGAGACGTTGAGTGCCATATGTACTCCATTGAATGGCAAAAACGAGGTCTACCACATGTGCACATATTGATTTGGTTAAAACAGAAGCTACTTCCTAATCAAATAGACAAAATAATTAGCGCTGAAATTCCAGATACAGAAGAAGATAAAAATCTGTACGACACGGTTATTAAAAACATGATTCACGGTCCCTGTGGAACTCGAAACCCTGCATCACCTTGCATGAAAGATGGCAAGTGTTCAAAAAAATATCCTCGAGAACTGATTAGAGAAACAGTTCATAGTGATAAGGGTTACCCGTTATATAGACGAAGGGCGCTTGCTGATGGTGGTAAACATGTTAACATTCGGACTCACAGTGCGGAATTAAAGAGTTTTGATATTAGCAGGGTTGTGCCCTATTCGCCAATTTTGTGTAAAATTTTCAACGCACACATAAATGTTGAAGCATGTAATTATGTACGTGCGATTAAGTATATATGCAAGTATATCAATAAAGGAAGTGATCAGGCAATCTTCAATTTGCATAATAAAGATGCTGTGCAGGTCCACAATGAAATACAAACCTACCAAGCGGGAAGATATGTTAGTAGCAACGAAGCGGCATGGCGGCTTCTTGGCTTTCCACTGCATGAAAGATATCCTACTGTTATACATCTTGCAGTACATTTAGAAAACGGACAGCGTGTTTTTTTTAATGACAATAATTTTCAAGACAGAGTTTTGTCTCCCCCTGAGACAACACTGACTGCGTTTTTCAAGTTTTGTCAGAATGATAATTTTGCAAAGACATTATTGTACTCTGAGGTCCCCCGTTATTATAGATGGAACAACTCAAACAAACAATGGCAACGTCGCATTCAAGGTACACCTGTAGAAAATCAACCTGGGGTTAAAGTATCAGATGCTCTTTGTCGTTTCTATACCGTGCACGTTACAAATTTCGAATGCTTTTGTCTGCGTATGTTATTGCACCATGTTAGAGGTCCAATTAGCTTTGCAGATCTTAAAATTGTTAATGGTCAGAGATGTCAAACATACAGAGAAGCATGTGAGGCAAGAAAATTGTTAGAAAACGATAATCATTGGGACAAAACTATGGAGGAAGCCGTACAATGTCGATCACCAGATAGAATAAGGGAACTTTACGCTACACTTTTATCATCTTGCGGTATTTCTAACCCTCAAACTCTTTGGGATCAGTACAAAGAATACATGGCTGAAGATATTTTACATCAACTTCAGCAAGTACAAACAGATATGACTTTCAATGAAAATATTTACAACAAAACGCTAATTCTAATTGAAAACAAGGTTTTTACAATGGTTGGGAAAAACTTAGATGATTTTGGAATGAAAAGTCCTCGAAGAGATAATGAGGATGATTTTAACAATGAAATTGCTCGAGAGCAAAATTATGATTTCATAGCACTGCAGCAACAAGTTGAAGAATTAATCCCTCATTTACTTCCAGAGCAAGCTCATGTTTTCCGTCAACTTTTATATAGAATAGAATCCGGCAAAGGTGGAGTCTTCTTTCTCGATGCACCAGGATGAACAGGAAAAACGTTTTTGCTCAACTTATTATTAATGTACATCAGAAAAAACAGACAAATAGCAGTTGCAGTAGCTTTTTCGGGTATTGCAGCAACGCTTTTAAACGGCGGCCATACGGCACATTCCGTTTTGAAATTACCATTAAATCTTGCACAGGAAGATTCACCCATCTGTAATTTCAGTAAAAATAGTTCTCGAGGTAGGATGCTGCGAGAATGTAAGCTTTTAGTGTGGGATGAATGTACAATTTCTCACAAAAAGGTTATAGAAGCTTTAAACAGAACTCTTTAGGACCTGCGAGATAGTACGGATATAATGGGAGGAATGGTAGTTTTACTGGCTGGTGATTTTCGACAAACTCTTCCGGTTATACAGAGGGGAACACCAGCAGATGAAATTCAAGCATGCTTAAAATCATCAAGCTTATGGTCGAGAGTTGAAAAACTCAGTCTCAAAACGAATATGAGAGTGTATCTTCATAATGACGTGGATTCGGGACTTTGAGTTTTTAAATTCATTTGAACTGTCGGGTGTACCATCACATAAGCTTAAATTGAAACTAAATGTACCAGTGATGCTTATGCGAAATTTAAATGCTCCTTTGCTATGTAATGGAACACGACTTCGGATAACGAAATTGGGACAGAACATACTTGGCGCTACTATATTAACAGGTGTTGGTAAAGGAAAAAGTGTGATCATACCTCGGATTCCAATTATTCCCACTGACCTTCTATTCAAATTTAAAAGAGTTCAGTTTCCCGTCAAGCTTAGCCTTGCCGTAACTATAAACAAAGCACAAGGGCAAACATTAAAAGTGGCAGGAGTGCATTTAGAAAAGTCATGCTTTTCACATGGTCAACTATATGTAGCCTGTTCGCGTGTATCTAATGCCCGAAATTTACACATATTTGCACCAAACGGAAAAACGTATAATATAGTTTATAAAAATATACTGGATTAATCATCTATATTGCTTATTTTAAATTGTTCCATTTCTAAATTATGTAATTTCGTTATAATGAAATATATCTTTGTTGTATTGATTCAATAAAGTATATTTTAAAATTTGAAAATTCATTGCATTTAGTAATCCAAGCCAAGCAATAAAATATATTCTTTATATGGATCCATATCTACTATAATGATATCAGTTATTTATTTGATGGATTCGATGCGAGCGAAGCCGCGGGTAAAAGCTAGTAAATATATAACTTACAAAATGACCGACATATTCGACATAAGGTTAGCTATAATAACAAAAATTATTATAGGTTGTATATTGCACTCAGGGGGGTTGTAGAATCTGATAATTTTAGGAATCAGAATTGAAACCGATTCAAAACAGAAATAGCTGACAGATTTGAAATGTAAGTTAAGAAATTAATTTATATTATTGTTACGATTTAATTTATCTTTATTTTTATAGGGGAAAACATAAGAATAAAACACAAAATGTCATAACTATTGAGTTAATGGAAAAAATCCACCGTAATTTAACACTCAAATGCAAACACTCACTTCCGCCAACCTCAAGTTTGAAAATCTTATATTGGGTATATGGAAGAAACGAGTAGTATTGACCCCATTTTATCTATTTTTGTCATTATACGTATTGACCAATATATGCGATATAAAGTCAACCGGAAGTTCGAAAATCTTTCTGTTAGATATATGGGGGCTAAATAAAGTATTGACCCGATTTCATCCAATTCTACATACAGACATATCGCTATCAGGAAAGTATTAGCTCCGAATTTCAAAAATAGATCTCACATATTGATGAATATTTTCGGCAAAAAGTCAGCCGCGGGAAATGTGGTCCAAATGTTCGGTATATGGGGAGATGGAACAGTCATGGTCCGATTTTGATAAGTTTTAGGCTTGGGATGGCATATCTTAAAGACACTATTTGTGCAAAGTTGTATCCCGATATATTCTTCAGTGCGTGATTTATAACTGAAAAATGAAAGAATGTGATAGAATCTAAATTTGTGGTATATGGGAAGCGGGCGTGGTTGCAGTCCGAATTCGCACTGTATCACAGAAATGTCAGGATAATGTTATCTACCGAATTTAATCGAAGTTGGTGTAGCAGGTCTAGAGATATGTGATTTCACCTAAATGTGGGCGGGTGGCTTTGACACCTCCTGTGCCATCCTGCGTATAAAATTTAATGTATCTAACGCATTTACCATAGTTATTGATTTATCGCACTTTTAGTAGTTTTCAACCAAACCGTTATATGGAAGGTGGATGGAGTTATCATCCAATTTTACATATTTTCACACTTTCGCACACAAGAACTGAAAAATTTATCCTAAGCACAACAAATCTATTTGGTAACGGAGCCACGCCGACCTTTTAAAGCTTTTCAAACCGCAGACGCCCTCAATATTGACATTCTATATGTTTTCGATTAATAGCGTTTTGTGGACGTGGCTGTGGTCCAATTATGCCCATCTATGAACTCGTTCTCCCAATTTGAACGATATCTCAATTTTTACTCAAGTCACAGCTTGCACAGACAAACGGACGGACATAACTCTATATCTATCTCGTTTAGTTTAAAGTTTTACAAACAACCGTTAGGTGGACAAAACTATATATATAACAATATTATACTCTATAACAACATGTTGCAAGGATATAAAAAAACGAACAACCATCATATTCTGTGACACCAATGAAAATCAGAATTAGTTTGCAATTCTGGCAAATAAGCATATTTGACTTTGTTTCCACAACAACAACCCTGAAAAACATAAATAAGTTAGTGAGGCGTTTTCACAAAGTAAAAAGGCAAAGTTAATTACGTTGTTTAACCAAGCCTGGCGTTTTCAATTTTCGCTTTGTAAATATTTACCTTGTAGATGTAACAGACCATAAAACGATTCGAATATCTTGCAAATTGTGTCCTTTGAAAATAATGACTCCCATTCATCTGCCATATTTTGTACCAATGCGGTTGAACTACGGTCCTTCTCGGCTTTTATAAACTCTAGGAACGTAGAGAGTAGCCGACAGATATTAATCGTAAATAACGCGATCTGTTAAGGAAAATAGAACTTATATGAATAATTACATTACACACTACACAGTTTTACAAACCTTTGGATTTTCAATATTTTCCATCGATTTATGTACGCTTGGTATCCAAGAACCTAGTCCAATGATAATGTTATCCCAGTCTTTAGCACCTAGACTCAAAGGTATTTTTATAAGTATTTCTTTTAGCAGTCGAATGTATTCAATTAGTTCTATAACGGCTGTGTACTCAAGTTCGTTTATTTCTCTAAAAATATATTCTAAATAATTATTTTGTCCACTCTATGGTAAATATATGTAGTAAGTAAGTAGTAAGTCTTACACTTTATTTTGTATATAAAATTTTTCATTTATTGATCGAACAGATTCCAACAACTGCTTAATTACATTTCTGTCACCGATTCTCAATTCATCGCAATTGAAATTATTTATTACAAGGCAGCGCAACGCTGCACATTTTATCCAAATATCTGTTGATTTTGCACAATCAAAAATATTGCTTACGGTAATGCTGCGGTAATTCAGGAGCGGAGTTTGATACTAAAATTAATTAAAAATAAATAAATGTTGACTTATGCCCAAATTATATTATACTTTTAGCAACCTATAAACATTATTGGGGGTCAAAAAATCGAATTATTTATTTCGGTTGGTACTCTATAAAATAGGTTCCTAGACTCCTCTAAGAAAATCTCTCCAAGAATGAGTTCTTAATTTTAACGGGAAGGTCCTCCGCCTTACAGTTTTCTTATTATCAGATAGAAAAATTAAAAACTCGTTTTTAACTATGTACTTAAAAAAGTATCTCGTTTTATGGACTTTGTAGTAAATCTAGTCTATAAAAAAGTCTCATACGATTTTTTCGTAAACCTAATCAATATTATCAGATATTAATTATTGAAGTTTGATTATTTTAAAGAACATTTTTTCGTTTGAATTTTATAATTCAATTAAAAAATCATCATAAATCGGAAAGCTCAAAGTTTTGTAGGAAATTTACTGCTCTACAAAAATGTCTCTTGTAAGCTCTCGACTTTTATTTTAAACCGCACCTAATTCATTTTACTTCTCCCATATACTTGTATATGGGATTTGTTGATATTTTCCAACAAAATTTTTATCTCCATAGTAAATAAATTTACAACTTTAAAAAAGTGATAATTTATTACAAAATTTTCCGCTCTACAAAAAAAGCAACATGCATGTACTTGATCCATAAGAGATGCTGAGATCCACTTACTATTTCTCTGATGACAACACGACTATTTTTAACAAGTGATGTTATCGACATTAAGGGGTTATACCAAGTCACGTTTTTAAAAAAATCAATTTTTTTTACAGTTTTGTAAAATGTATATATCTTTGATTCATTTGAACATTTTTTAACAAATCGATTACAAGAGCAAGTCGGCGCCGTACAGAGTAGCATGTTTATGAAACTTTAAATTCGTTTTTCTCAAAACCACGTTTTTTAAGTCGGTGACCACAATATCTGAAAAACCGCTGAGCCGATTGAGCTCAAATTTCACACAAGCTCAAAAAATACATTTTGTTGTCGTTGATCGAAGGATTTTTAAATAAAATTATTAATTTAATCAACTATTTAAGACGATTTTTTCAGGAAAATAAAATTGTTTTCTTAAGAATTATTAATTATATTTTTCTAATTCCTTCGATTAACGACAACATCTTTTTATAAACAGAATCTACATGACTTTTTTTATTTCAGATGATCCTTAAAGGATATGTTGGTCACCGCGAGACACATTTTTCAAGTACCCTTGGGAGATTGCATACAGAGGACAGAAAAATTTTTATTTTTGTTTATTAAAAATATTTTTTAACACATTAAAAGATGTATATTATATAGAAAAACTTAAAAAAAAATAATATCTATAATACTTTAAGAAAAAAATCGACCGCCTGACTAGGTATAACCCCTTAACAGACAGCTGGATGGACGACTCGCATAAGGCAAGTTTTTGATGAACTCACGACCTTTACTGAATGCCTGGTAACAATCAAATACTTATGTTCGAGATAAAGTAGAAAGTTGAAAACACAAAATTTCAAAGAAACTCATTGTTCATATTTTTTTCATGCTAAAAATCGCCAGATTGGGTCCTAAACAGACAGCAGCCAAAGTCACACTAGTAGACATACTCAAATCAAACTGCACGCGATCTTAAAAAAATAAGATTTTTAGGGTAAAATTTTTTATAGATTCGGTTGCACGCAGTTTAAATGATTAAATTTGAATATATATATTAGTCAAGGTGAGTATACTATCAACTATACAGGCGTATAAGTTGTACAGTAAAATGTTACTACTGATTATATTCGTCTACAAGTAGAACGGAAAGTTTATTACATAATATACATATGTATCTCCATCACATAACAAGTAAGAAAGATCTAAGTTCGGGCGTAACCGACCTTTCATATTCTTGCAATTCGCAAGGCTGGTGTTTTTAGGTGCAAGCCAAAGTTTATACCTCCACTATGGTTTTATGAACAACATTAAAACAAATTAACTTCCGAACAGCAGGTAAGCCAAGGATTTTTTGACAATTAAATGTCAACACAATACCTATTTAACAATTATAACAGGTTTCAAATATTACGGAACATCGTATTTGTGGGCAGTGAATTAAAACCCACATGATTGAAGACGAGCCAAACGCTTCAAAAATTTAATGACACTACACATTTACTTAATTTTATTTTTACTGCTTCCAAATTGTGCCTTGGTTCGTCCAGTTTTTGCATTGTTCTCCACGAGCTCAATAAGTTTTTAAATTGGTTTAAACTTTGTTTTTATAAAAGTTCGTCGAAAAACTAAATTTTATAAATATGTACCTGTAAGAAATTAATGTAAGCTGATAAGCCGTCTTTAGCAATTAGATGTTTGAAGAGTTCCTCGTTAAAAACGATTGATGCGCTTTCTTCAAACGGCAAGTATCGATAATGTGAAAGTAAAACGTGAAGAGCTCGACAATACAATATATTGTCAGCTTCTATAACATTTCGAAGAAGAATTTCATGTACTTTTTCCGATAGAGTAGATTCATTTTGAATCAAAATTTTGATTTGATCCTGTAATTCTTCAATCCAAACCTTCAGAGCAACACCTTCCTGAAAAATTAATATTATTAAATAGAAGATCATTAAAAATTAATTGTATTTTAAAGTACATATTACCAATAACACGTCATACTAATATAATGCTAACAACACGGAGTCATACCCCTCTATTACGCATCTATAATTGCGCGCTTACAGCTGCTATTCGACAACAAAATACCACATGCACATTACTCGATAATATCGTCTACCTACCGCAGACAATTGTGTCTATTATCGAATACTACCAACAATTATTATGGTAGATATTCTATTTTCTATTTGAAAAATTTACCGTAATAGATCATTAAACAAATCGTTACTCTTTAAGCACTTAATGAATTTTTTATACTCTTGCAACACGTTGCTACAGAGTGTAATAGTTTTGTTCCCCTAATCGAGTTAGTTGTATATAATATTATATTATTAATATATAATATAATTGATCAAAATGTAGAGACAAGTTGAAATCTTGGCATCATAAGAAGATTGAAATTGTAGATGGGCGTAATCGGATCATTGCATTGCCCACAAAACGCCATTAATCGAAAACCAATAAAGCCATAACTAAACTCCACAATTAGATAAAAGGCTGTTATTTGGTATAAGGAATCGCATCAGGGAGGGGCATCTGCCTAAACCGTTAAAGCTATAATAACGAAATTCACACAGGGCAAATAATTTTGGCACCCTTACCGACGGTATGGAAATGGGTGAAATCGGATAATAACCCCGTCCACTCCGTCGACGGTTTTGTTAAAAACGATATATCAATAAATAAATGCGTCAGACATAAAATCTTACACCCGAGATGGTACAAGAGGTCTTCATTAGAGGCGCTGTCAAAATAGGACGTTGCGCTTGGCACCGCCCACATTTAGGTTATACCCGATATCTCGACCAATTTAACCGGTAGGTAACATTATTCTGATATTATTATGTGAAAGTGCGAAAATGAGCAAAATCGGACTACAACCACGCCAAGGGCTGAGTTTGAGTGTAATCGAACATTTTATACCCTCGTAACTTGCAAGGATCAAAGCCTTTTTGTGAAATAATTCAACATTCAAATTTGGTATCCTATTAACTTCTGTACATTATACCATAAGACGTAGACTCACTTAGTTTCATTACTACATTTCGCATGTCCGAAATATTAATAGTAAGATCGACCTAATTAACTCAAATGTGATATATGTGATATAAACTCAATCAAAGCTATAGGATAGGAAATCCCAATTTCTGTACTAATGAAAATCATTATGTATAGCATATAGAAGATGGAGTAGTTCGTGGATCAATATCGCACATTTTTGGAATTTAAATATAGTATATCTTATATTATACTTTATTTATACACATATATATTGCCAAGGCATCTTACATATTGACCGATATACGGTATATAGCCAACCGGAAGCTTGAAATCCTTATATAATTCATATAAATTTTTTTATATAAGGTACACACTTATATGGTGCTAACATTTTAACCTGATTTTATCCAGTTTTGGTATTATGACATATCATTAGCAGACAAAGATGCTCTCTGAATTCCAATAAGAAACCGAACAGATTTATCAATATATAAGGTATAAAATCAAGCGGATGTTTGAAAATCTGTATATTAGGTATTTGGGGAAATATTGCCCTGATTTTAGTCCATTTTATGCAAGAGAATATACTGTTACTAAAAAGAACTGCTGTTGAAAGTTTTCTTACATATTGACCGATAGACGCGATATAAAGTCAATCGGAAGTACAAAAATATTATATTTATATGTGGTATGTATATGGGGCTAAGGTAAGTATTATCTCGATTGAAAGTTTTATTCTGATATCTTGATCATTGATGTTTGATTTGTATACTGTTAAGTGAAGGAATCAGTTGGATTTGAAAGATTGTTATATGGAAGCGTGGTTTTCATCCGATTTCGTCCATTTTGACAATGTAATATAAAAATATGGTTGAAATTGATCAAGTAGATCCTGAAGTATAGGTGGTACTGCGGCCGTTGTTCAATTTTAACACCGGCTCGTCTTCATTTTTTCCATGCCATCATCATTCAATGCCTCTGACCTATTTATTTAGTGAGTTATCGCTTTTTTAATAGTCTTCAATGTAACCGATATATGGAGAGTGGGCTCGGTTATCAAATGATTACAATATGAGAGGTTATCATCAGTATGTAAGGAGACATACTTGTAGAAACACTTGTGTGGCAAACTTAATATACCATGTTTAGGGTATAGAAGCAGTTCAATATTTCTTGAAGCTTGCAATCAACAACATTATTCAGAATATAAATTAGTTTTGATATAGATAAGGATAGATAAATATTTTTACATATATAAACGATGAAATACACAAATAAATCTTACCTCCGGTTTGATGTTTAGAACACTTTCTGCAGCAGATGTAAAAACTATACAATTGAGCAATTCGTGGTATAAATTGCGATTTATTATGCTCATTTCTTTGCAAACATTTTCTTGAAATCGTTTGATAATATACACATTCAAAAGTGATCGCTGTAAGATTATGATTATTGTCTGAAGCTCTAAACATTCATAGTGCACTTCTTGTTTTGTGGAAACAATGCCATTTATGGCTTCCATAAATAAAATGTAATTTTTAAATTTTTCCTGCAATGCAGAAATGTCCTTAGTCGTAGTAAACATATTTATTAGATTATTTTGTGCTGTAAATCTGATTTTAGGTGCATTGTATTTGGCAGTACTGCGGAATATAAAACGAATTATTAAATCTGCACTTTTTGATGTATTTGACACCGTAAGTGTGTTCATCACTCGCAAATTTGAAATACAATGTAAAGTTGCCACCTCATTTACGATATGTTCATCGCATAACACACTTTCCCAGCACTCAGAAAGGGTTTCTTCCCTAATTGAATTAATTGCTGAAGATTGAATCAAAAACGAGAATAGTTTCAAGAATGCCTTTGTTTTTGTTTCATTAAAAACACTTCCGCATGAAAATATCTTCGGCAAAACTTTAGAAATAATTTGTCCGCATAATTCAACCAACTCATAGTTGTCATCTCTTTCAAGATGCTCAAACATGATGCTTAAGAATTCATCCACTGTTGTGGAACCAATAAAGAAATTACCACCATCATTTTGTAAAAACAGTGTTTGCAACCAATTAATTTTTTCTTCTGATTTTTCAAGTAGTGCTTCTCTTGTTATATCGCTTATTATTGTCCTGACAGCTGGGCTGGATAACAGCATATCTTTACGTTTTCCAATTTTCAATGGTTGCAACAATAAACGTTCAATAAACAAAATTTGCATACGCCAAGAGGACACCTGAAAATTGAAATCATGCTTTGTTATCAAGTTAAGCAAAAAATTTTAAACCACTTACGGAGATGAGTATATTGTTGATAAAATCGAATTGTTGATCACCATCCAAATAATGTAAAAATTTGAAAATAATTTCGGCAATATCAACGTAAAGATTTTCATTCGAAATAGGTATTAAGTCAATTAATATTTCTAAAGATTTTGTAACATCAAAGTTGTTTGTAATATTTATATTGAATTTGGTGTCAGAAAATATATCCATAAATAACAACAGGTGTTTTAGGCAAGATTCGCATTCTTTGCCAGCAATTCGTTTTAAGCAATGGCTAACTAGATCGGAGGCTAGGTTTTTTAATTTACTCTTATTTCTATCTTTTTGCCCATTTGGTAATAATAAATCCAATTTATCACTTAAGCCTTCTTGATCAAATTTAACTAGACTTTGGAAGATATCAATAATCCCCTCAGGACAATGTTCTATATCAGTAATAAGTGAAGTTACTAAATCAAATATCGATATCCAGAATTCCTTTAGAAGATATGCTTGTATCTGTTCATTAGCTTCTCTTTCTATTTTAATGTCAGCTAACATTTGAAGAGTTGAATCAAAAAATGATTTACAAGCACAATTTCTATTTGCTCTGAGTAAGCATTTTGTAGGATCAAGTATGTTTTTATGTAGAAGTTCGAAGGCATTTTGTTGTTTCTCATCAAGTGGCATTTCTGTACTGTTTATCACCTTATTTAATACCAGTTTTAAACAGTCAAAATATGAATTCAACACAACTTTGTGATCTGTTCCACTAGCATTAACATTCTCGGAACAAAAAACATATTTAAATTTCTCTAAAAACAATTTCATAAAAATATACCAGTTGAAATTATTAGTACGCACTGATATCAAAGCTGAACAAAACGGTAACATTTTAGGACAGATGTTTTCATAGTTATTAAAGAAATTATTTTGAAGCAAACTCCACAGCCTGTATTCAACCGCATTGTTGAAGTCCAAAAGTATATACCTGCAAATAGAATCCATTTATTATTAAAATATTAGTAAATACATGGAATTATGAATATTATAGCTTTAATGAACTATGATAATTATAACTTCAAGGACCGCTTTCTAATATAGTATATAATAGGTAATATTATTCCCTATTTTAAAGTTTGTTTTAAATATTGGTATTCTCATCTAGCTAGTAAAAAAATTAATTAATTGTTTGGATCATAAACTTATGTCAAAAAGAGCTTCAGCAGAGTACTAATTTAAGTATCCAAAATCAAAAAACTATTCTTATCAGACCATAGCACGGGCAAAAATTTAAAATTTATATAAGAAAAATAACATAAATAAGACTTATGCATTAACGCTTAAATGTATAAGTAATAATCTTACTTCTTGTTCTTATTACTAAATGCCGTAAATTATAATATGTTTGAACTTACCAATCATCATAGGTTGATTGTACAAGTAATGTGCACTGCCATATATGTAGAGACAATATTCGATCGCTTTCATTAATTCCAGCAAAACATATTTCAATGATATCTTTTTTCCGTTCAGAAATTATGGCGTTTAGAGATATGTTTAAAATCATATTGTGTATTGTTTTGAACCATCCTCTCCTATAAGAATATATATATACATACTTTATTACAGACGATCGGTACAGCCTTTTAAAATATGTATTTCGTTTGTCAAACTAACAACATTAAATAGAGAAAAATCAGTTCATCTAATTTCAAAAGTTATTTCATTTTACGCATTCAAAAAAAAGTTTGTCTTTTTTTGTTTAATTTTGGCTTTGCGAGTATTGTGGTTGGAGTATTGTGGAAATTAAAGACGATCTCTTTTTTATCGAAAGCGTTAGCAGAGAAGTCGTAGTTTTGAAGTTCTGCCTTTTTTCCTGTCGTTTTAACGCAATTTACAACATAATATATCTATATTAATATTTTTAACAATAAATACAAAGAAAATTGTGTACAATTTTTCTAATTCTGTTTTTAAAAAAATACGTGAAGCGTTTGTGGAACGAAAAGGTGAGAACAAAGTTAAAAAAAGTGAACACTTTGTATTAAACAAGTGAAGAAGGGCTAAGTTCCAGTGTAACCGAAAATTGATACTCTCATATGGATCAAAGGTGGGAAAATACCTTCAGGTGTTGGAAAACTTTACATTAAAAATGTTGCGCAAAAATTAAACATTCAGAAACCGCATGGATTGCAAACAAATTTGGTATATTATTAACTTATATTGTATGTCAGACTCAATATATTATATTAATATCGATCTAGTTAAGTCAAAAGAGATATGTATATAACGGGTGATCCATGTAGAGGTACTTTTTCCAACAGTCATCACGCGTGAGTCGTGTCAAGCTGTCATGTTATTTTTGTTCAGTATTGTTTGGCATTTCATCATGGAAAGACTTAACGCCTAAATAACGTAACCGTCAATGGTGACCGTTAACGCGCCACGATAACCGACTAATTGATGCCTAAAATTAAAGGTCGTGGTCTCGGCGACATTTGGTTTCAACAAGACAGCGCCATTTCCCACAAATCGCATCAATCAGTGGATTTATTCAGAGAACACTTCAATAAGCAGATAATTTCACGTTTTGGGCTAGAACGAGTCATCGAAAATTGGACTTAACGGATGGACCACTTGAAAGAGACCTTACATATTGACCGATATATACGGTATAAAGCCAACAGGAAGTTTAAAATTTTATTCATTTTGACATCTAAAAAAACTATATTAGTTATATGGGAGCTATATATGCGGTGTAAAGTCAATTGGAGGTTCAAAATTCTTTATATTCATTATATGAGGGCTAAGTGAAGTGTTGACTCGATTCTACCCAATACGAACAGACAGGCATACTATTATCATGAACATATTTTCTCTGTATTTAAGTAAAATAATTCAAAGATTGACTGAGTTTTATCTCGATATGTTCATTGTAACTTAATTTGCGTATTGGAAAGTGAAAGAATCATAAGGAATTTATAATATTGTTCATATCATAGGAATTTATTTCATAATTGTTATGGCGGAAGTAGGCGTGTTTTTATCTGATTTCGTCCATTTTCACACCGTAATATCGGAAAATCAGGAGAATGTTCTGAATTAGGTTGAAATTGGTCAATTAGGTCTTGAGATATGGATTTTCACATAAAGGTGGGCGGTGCCACTCTCACTGTCCAACCTTGTCACGGGCTACTATGAAGCTATTCCGTATAGTGACATACATATGAGTAATTTAATGCTTCTTGTGTAGTTACTTAATGACTTATCGCACATTTAGTAGTTTCAACACAACCATTATATGGAGAGTGGGCGTGGTTACTATCTGATTTCACCCATTTTGGAGGTGCTGGAAAGAATCATCCTCAGCAAGTTTGTTTGATATATGTATGTAGCTTTAGAGGTTGGTAAGATATATACATTAAACCTATTAGGTGGTGGAGCTACATCCCCTTTTCAAAAAATTTCACCCTATATAGAAACATTACCACAAACTCTCCATTTCCTTGCTGACAGTAGTTATCCAAAATGCAGTTTAAATAATTTACACTTTGAGTGGCGCAGTCTACGATATCTATAGTTTTAAAATATAAAGCACAAACGACTGAAAAAGAGCAAAACGCTTCGAAAATTTTAAAATAAATTTACATAAGAAGGCATTACTGAAAATAGTAGATTGCATTGACGATGTTCGAAACACTTCCCACGGCCCCTTAATTTTATTTTTACTGTTTTAAAATTGTAGCACTTGAGTTGAAAACCATATTATGGATTTTTATTCCGATATCGTCGTTGCTCCTTAATTTATATATATATTTTAAAGTGAAAAAATTATGTGATCAAAAGTAGGCGTGGTTTTGGCCACAATTCCGCTTATTTGCGCAGCGTACCATAAAGATGTAAGATAATTTCTTATACCACTTTAAGTAGTTACCAACATAACTTCATACATTAACTCTTACTTACCTAGTTATTTTATTGCCATTTCTTCCCCAATTCCAAAAGATTTTTGACTCTATAATGGAACGTAATATAATGTGTGACTTCGAAGACAAATCTGCTGTTTTCGTTTGCTCAGTAAAAAAAGAAAGAAGTTCGAGGCTTCCGTAAACCTTATTATAGCCAAACACATAAGTGTCAGTACCATTTTTGTTATCTAACGATTCTAAAAGATTATTAAATATGTATTCTAGAATCTCTGATTGGCAATGTAAACAGACTTCCTCTACACGGTCTGTTTTTGCATTGAATATATTGAAGAAGCTGGCACGAGCAATATTAGCAGCTGGACCGTAATTATCAAATTGAGAATAAATCCAAACGGGTACTAATTCCTTTAAATATGGGGCTATCATGCGTTTACATTTCGATGTCAGCATTTTTTGTACTTGTTGTGTAAGTTCGCGTATGTTGTGTATCGGATCATATGAAAATTCAAGGTAGATTTTAGTCCAAAGCGGTAAAATGACCACAAGTTCCTCGACATTCGTCTCTTTTATATCATGAATAAGCTCTTCCAAAGCCCTTTTTTTAGTAGTTGGATCTTTTTTATTGAGCTTACGAATTGCATTTTGAAGGTTTTTATTAGTAGTGCAGTCAGAAAAATGCGATATTTCATTTGGTCGATTGTTTTTCTTTGATTGTGTAGGAAATGCAATTCCAGTTTGTGTACCAAGAAGTTCGGCACTACGACGGCTGTTGGAAGGCTAAATAATAAAACAATTGTATTTTAAGTTTTTTTTTAATGCATTGATACACAAATAACATAACAAAACATAATTAATACCTAAACTAAGGATTTTGAATACATTTTTTTAAATGTTTAGTTGGAATTCAATCATTTCATTTTGAACAAAAACAACAGAGTGGTGTAATTTTTTGACAAATGAAATACCACGAAACTGTATGTAATTACTAAGAAATATTCTAGGTAAAATTTTCGAGTTATTCGATAATTAGCAACGGAACCAGAGTTCAAATGCGTTTTTCTTAAAACTATAATTTTTGAACTGTGCCTGCCATTATGTTATAAATGATAATTAATAGACAAAAGCTTCGATCACGCATATTATCTATACTAATATTATAAAAAGGAAATAATTGATTGTTTGTTTATTTGAATTGAATAGACTCCGAAACTACTTGACGGATTTGGTCGTTGGGATGCTACACCATCTCCGGTGAATATAGACTATATTATATTTTAAAAAGTTATGGACCCATACTAAAACGCCAATAATGCAATCCAAGGTGTAAAAAATTACCTAAAAAATTTCTTACACTGCGAATACTATTGCCTAACTGTTATAGCTATGTCACAATAAGTGTTCTTTTATTTAAGAAATAATAATTTAAATGCCTCTCTAAAAGCTTTTTATTTGTACCTTGGTATAAATTCTTATCAAAATTCATTACCTCATATTCAAAACTGATTCAATACCTTTATACAACTTTTTGAATTATTTGATTCGATTATTTTATTAGAAATATATCACGAATTTAAAATATGTAAGTGTTAGAAAAAAGTTGCGTGGTGAGCAACGACCCCGTTGGCTAGGCTGCAACATAATATGCTATGTAGGCGTCATTGGCGCACGGGTGGGAAGTCAATTTCAAGAAATAAATAAGACGCGGTCGAGTGCGGAATTAAATATCATTACAGGTTGGTTGAGTTTCTGCCTGTAATAGCTTCTTTTTTTCACGAAAAACGTAGAAATCGTACCTTAATTTGCTGAATTTTGTCATTGTAAAGACACCGTTGTGAACAGGTGCATTGTCTTGATGAAAAGTTATTTTTTTGAGCTGCAAACCAGGTCTTTTCTTATGAATTTTTTCATCCAGCTGATCCAAAAGGCTGCAATAATATTCAGAATTTATTGTTTTACCTTTCTGCAGATAATCAATCAATAAAATTCCTATTTCATCCCAAAAAACTGATGCCATAACCTTCTTTGCTGATTGTTGTGACTTCACCTGCTTTGGAGCAAACAACCAGCTTCAGTCCACTATAAACGTTCTTGTTCAATTAGGATCATGGTGCTAGATCCAAGTCTCATCCATAGTTATTAAACAACGCAAGAAAACAGTTTAATTCTGCTTAAAACGCTAAAAATTATGCTGAGAAATTTGTTTTCGATTCAGTTTTTGATGAATTATTAACGTTCTCCATGTAAAATATGAAGTACTCGTTCGTCTGAGATGCCTATGTCAGCAATTTCACGCTTAGTCATACTTGGATCTTCACTAACAGTATTATGAACTTGCTCAATGATTTCTGGTGTGATCGTGATAAAGAAAAAGAAATTGGAGCTAGTAGTGCTATTTCTTGAGCAGAAACTTTTCAACCAACTTGATTTTTAAACATCCGATTGACTTTTCATTTTATATATAGGTTAATATGTGAAGGTATCTTACTGAAACTGTGGAGGAATTTTTTGCTAGTCTATTAATAAAACCATGTTTTTTTTATATGATTGATTTTAGATGAATCTCCAAGGATTAGTGATGGTCACCCAATGGAGATTCGTTTCAAAATTATTATTTTTTTTTTCAAATTTCATATTTAATGATGCTATGTTTTTACATTTATAAAATAAAATAATTTACTGCAAAAAAAAAAATATTTAAAATATTAGTTGTTTCATGTATCTGACTACACATAGCCCCTGAAGGAAATTTTAGTGCTATAAGGTGTGTGTTATGTGTAAGATGCTTGTGAAAAATTATTCTGTGTCGGTTTATTCATCAATAATTACAATCTCAGTATTTGTTTCAAACAAATGCAGGAAGAGTTTCTCCTGCGCTGTAGTGTTCAGCTGTTTATGTGTATGGTCAAAACACTGCCAAAAAAGAATAAAAACCGATATTATCCACACAAATTAAAATCAACAAATATCAGTGGCATAATTTAACGACTGACTTTGAGATTTTTTCACAACCTTCAAAGAATAATGTCTTATATGCTCTAGTCCCAATATCTATTGCTTCGTCTGTCTATGTGGAATGATTAGTACCGTTAGTAATTAAGCTTACTGAAAACAATAGTATTGTATATATAAAAATTTCAGTTATTAGCAATGCCTCTTAAGATTTAAAGCAGTAAATACTTATGTTGCAAAGGAGCGTAGACTTATTAAGGCTAGTGTAAATGCGTAATTAAGAATACTTGAAAGTGCCGAAACCCTGAGTTTACACTTTTGGGAAACACTGTTCAAAGTATTGCGACTTGAAACAATTTTAGTGACTAATACTTACACACCCATATGCAACAAATGGTGAATTATTACAAACATTTTCCCTAGCTCTTCTCTCTTATGAATGAGTGAATGAGAAAAAAGCAACATCCAAGTTGAACTCAACATGGCGCTTGTTGTATAACGCATTTATTTACGAATTGATTCTCTTGTTAGATATTATTAAAATTGATTTCACAATAGTGAATAATTGTTGACTTTCCATTTGCGATATACTTTCTGAAAAGATTTATTGAATCTGTTCGAAGTGTCAGAATCCAACAACGTATACATTGTGGTACCAGGTGTGAATTTCGGAGATATACGACTTTTTTATTCATGAATGAAAATGTAACCTATCTTAAGAATAAAGTAATTCTTATTATAGGTATGTAAAATTAATGTATGTATTAAATTAGATATAGTGCAATGAATTAATAGTAGATTTTACAAAAATATATTAATGTAAAATGACTATTAAAACTACTTATTTTGTGTATATATTTTCATTTGGAATTTTGGGCAATACTACGAAATATCGGTTAAGTTTTGGTATTTTCTGCGAATTTTCAAAGCTGTATCTCCAACACTATTACTGATATCAACATGAGAATTTGGGACAATATTCTAGAGATGTTATAGAATTATATAACCCCTTAACAGAAAGAATATATGTATGTTGATTGGGTCTGAAAGTGGCCATACACAACATACAGTGTACCAAAAAAAAACGTGTACAACGAGATGCTTTGAATTTGGTTCATAGTACATCTGCGTTCAATCGGTATGTGCACAAAGAAAATTTACTCGTGTATATACTTGCGTGCATATGAACCCATGTTGGCGAAAGTTTTCGATTTTTTACGATCGGTGTGCAAACAAAAATTTGGAAAATAAAAAATGACAAAACTGCAGTAATAATGAAAAGAAAAAAATAAATTTTGGGATAATTTATAGTCAAATACATAAAAATGCTATTATAAGAAATGTTTACTATAATAATAAAATACAATTCAATTATGCGCTTAATTTATGATTATCCATTGAACGACGATCATAAGATGCATGGATAACATGGTACGAAACTCATTGATTCGAAAGAGCGCTCTTAAAATGCGCATTTTTATAACCTTTCATAGTGGCAGCTTCGTTTTCCTGGTATACATATACATACATATATTTATGTGTTGTAAAAAAAAATTACTAAACAGTAATAACCAGATTTATTTATTAAATATTAGATTTAGAAATAAGACACATGTTGGTCTTATATAGTAATTTGTATATATATAAATATATGCATGAATGGTTTTATTCAAAAATAAATTATTAAAAATTAACTTACAAAAATAGTTGATCGATATATAATATGTATATGCTAAGAATACTCTAAAACGAATAATACAATTTGAGAATACGTTCAGCATATACAATACACAAAAGAAATGTCTACGTTATCAACAAGCAACGCTCAAAAATCTAAAGCCAAGAAAAAAATACAACAAGATTAAAGACCAAATACATAAGTACACCGGCTGCTGATCATGTGTATTTTTTTGTACTTGTCTCTGCTTATCATTAATTTTTGTTTTACTTATACATTTTTTGATAACAAATCTGTGCAAATAAAAACGAAGAGTGTGTAAAAGAAATACAACTTTGTGTTCTTGTTCGTAACAGCTCGCTGCTACCTATTTCTTCATTTCTTTTTATTTTGAAACTCTTTTCAGTGTTGCAACGGCGCTCGGTTTCAAATGAATATATACGATTCGTTCAGAAATTTGAATTTTGTTATCTTTATAATGGAAATATTTTGGGAAATGGTGAATAAAAATAAAAACAAGAAACTTAAAAATATGTAATACCATTTAGCAGTATTAAATGTAACAATATATATAATTGATTTTTAATACAACTGGAATACTTTTACTTTTTTATATTTAAAATTTTTATTTAATTTTATTTAAAATCAGAAATACAGTTAATTCATAAATGTTTTGTAATATTTACAAAAATATGGCTTAAAAAATTTGGTTTTGAATATATTAACAGCGGTTATTGAACACATTTTAATGAATTATCGAGTTTTCTGATATACATATATTATATATTATATTTTACCCACAAAGGATTTTTTTTTTTTTAATTTGGAGTTTTAATTACCATTTTGTACTGCTAAGTAAAACAATACTCTGCAATAAAATCCAACCTTTCTAAAAAAATATATATTATATATATATCTCTTTAAATAAAAGTTATAGACATATCTAAAAATCAATTTAAAAAATCTAATCTCACAAATAACCTATTGGTTTCCTATTTTATTTCTGCGGAATTCTTAGTGGTAGTTCGTTGTTTTCCTTGTCATCTGTTCAGTAGCTCATGAACTTTCAGTGCTGC